TAGTATGTTTATGTTGCTTAGTGGTCAGATTAACTAGTGATTCAACAAGATCTTCTTCTAAACACCTGGAACCTATAAGGCCTTGATTTTGTATTGTTGGATCTGTGTGTTGGTAGGGAAGCATATTCAAAGTTCAAGTCATTTTGAGATCTACCCTTCCCATGAGGTCCTTTTGCATCTCTTACATGTGCGTATGCAGCCTCAGGGTGGGCCATGAGTATGTGGCTAACTTGGGCCCTCTCAGGTCTGCGCTGTCTCAGCCAGGAACACACTTGCCCCAACCATGACCACACCTCCGGCCAGTGGAGCCTTTGACTCTTCCTGCTTACTGCCTTGGAGATCATCACTTCCATCAGCAATATAGAAAACATGCAAGGGAAATTAAGTGATTTCCTCCCGTCTGTATGGAAGCTCTTTGTTTTCATGGCCAGCACCTTCTTGCCAGAGTTTCTACACCGAGTGCAGGAAGGGCTGAGAGGAGCCTCACCTGAGCCTGGGAAGTTGAGGCTACAGTGAGCTGACATTATGCCACTGCAGTCCAGCGTGGGCACTGTAGCTTGGGCAACCCTGAATTTTTGTTTGTTTGCTTGTTTGTTTTTCCCCCATTTGGGGGGGGGGGAAAAAAAGCCACTGATTCCTACTATTCTTACCTGAAGTTCAGCAGTTTTGCAAGCATAAAGTTGCTCAGATTGTTAAGTCCCTTTGGTTAACTTCCAGAGTGCTGAAGTGGTTGGTTTTGTCAGTTTTGTCTGGTTTTGTCAGTTTTGTCCTGTTTTATTGTTGCTTCTGCAGGAGAAGATTTCCTCGCTCTGCCTCGGCCAGAAGTTCCACCCTGTACTCACCTTGTTTTATATTCAACTTCGCTTCCTCTGCCTAACTTCAAAATTGGGAGGGTCCCAAGGCTCAGTCTCTGAACCTCTTTCCTTCTTCATCAATGCTAGGCGTTTTCTTCCAACCCCACAGCGTTAAATATGATTGATACACTAATGATTCCCCATTTATGTCTCCAACTCTGATCTCCCCCTTGAACTTCAAGTGACTGACAGATCTGAATCTCCAACTCATCTCCACCTATATATCTGATAGACTGCTCACACTCACATAACAAAAAGTCTTTAATTTTTCCTCCAAGTCTATCTTCCCCTAGTTCTAATCTATTCACTTGTTCAAGTTCAAAACCTAGGAATTATCCTTGACTCCTTTCCTTCCTTCACTCCACCCCCACATCCAGTCTAAGAAATCAGATGTCAAACCTACTGCCGGAACATAATTCCAAATTCATTCACTTTTCTCCGTCTCCACGGACAATCTGCCTAGTCCAAGCGTCCATCTATTCTCTGAAGACTACAGCAGCCTCCTTGTTCTTTCTGCTTCCATTCTTGTCCCCATACATTCTGTTGACAACAACTGTCAGAGTCATCTTTTCAAGGGCAAACCAGATATTGTCACCTCTCATTACACTAACAATAAAATCCTTAGTTCATACTGTGGCTTATGGAGCTTTATATTCATTCAACATGATCTTCTAGGCCTCATGCTATCTCTCCAACTTAATTTCCTACCATTCTTCTCTCATTCACCATATTCCAGGCATTCTGGGCTTCTCTCCATTCTTTGAACATAGAATATGCCAAACTCATCCCTGCCTCACAGACTTAATACTGTTTCAGGCTGGAACACTCTTTTCCTGTAAGCCTTGTGGCTGACACTTCTTCATGAAGATCTTTTTTTTTTTTTTTTTTTTTTAATTTTCAGAGTCGAGGTCTCTCTCTATTGCCTACGCTGGAGTGCAGTGGCACAATCACGGCTCACTGCAGCTTCAAACTTCTAGGCTCAAGGGATTCTCCCACCTCAGCCTCCTGAGTAGCTAGGACTACAGGCATGCACCACCATGCCCAACTACATTTTGGGTTTTTTTATTATTATTATTTTTGTAGAGATATGGCTCTCCCTGTGTTGCCCAGGACAGTCTCAAACTTCTGGCCTGAAGCAGTCCTCTTGCCTCAGCCTCTGAGTTGCTGGGATTATAGGTGTGAGCTACCACAACTGGCCCTGTGATGGGCTTTACTAACTCTCCTGCCCCGTCATTCTCTACCACGTACTCTGCTTGTTTTCATAGCATTTCTAAGTCTCTGTCATTATCTTGCTTATTTTTTACTTTATACCCTGTCTTATTTGTTGGTGTGGCCCCCAGCACTAAGTGCAGTGTTGGCACAAAGCAGGTACTATAAATGTATGTGTGTGGACTATGTGAATGTGCTCTCTAAGGCCAGAGAGTGCATTCCAGCAGAGAGGTACATTTATTTAGCAGATACTTGCCTACCCCTGCTGTGGGTTTAGGAGTCTGATTGTGAATATGCTTGAAACCTCATCTCTTGAACAAAACAAAATCTACAATCTCCAGGTGAGGAAGTGATGACTGAACTCTGACCTCTGGGTATTACCTTCTCCATGTGGGTTTCTGATTCTGAGAAGCCTCTGACCCTCTTTTTTTTTTTTCTTTTTTCTTCTTCTGCATGTGTGTGTGTGTGACCGAGTTTCGCTGTTGCCCAGGCTGGAGTGCGATGGCACAATCTCGGCTTACTACAGCCACCACCTCCAAGGTTCAAGTGGTTCTCCTGCCTCAGTCTCCCAAGTAGTAGGGATTACAGGCATGCGTCACCACACCCGGCTAATTTTGTATTTTTAGTAGAGATAGGGTTTTACCATGTTTGCCAGGCTGGCCTCGAGCTCCTGATCTCAGATGATCCACCCACCTTGGCCTCCCAAAGTGCTGGGATTACAGGCATTAGCCATCGTGCCCGGCCGCCTCTGACCCTCTTTTAAAAGCCCTGGGCCAATTCTGTTTATAGAGTCACTTCTCTTGGTTTTTCAGAGCATAGCTAAGGCAGGCAAGGTCTTTGACAAAAATTTACCATTGTAAGAGAAAAATGCAGATACAAAAAGAGATCATTAGGGATGGAAATACAGCCCTTCTGCCTAAAAGGGCTGACATAGATAAGCTTTAGATTTTGTGGATTAGGGAGAGGCATCTTAAAAGCTCCCCACCAGGAACCTCTGCCAGGGCATCGACCTTTTTTTTTTTTTTTTTAAGACAGGGACTTGCTCTGTTATCCAGGCTGGAGTACAGTGGCACTAACATTGCTTGCCGTAGCCTTGACCTCCTGAGCTCAAGCAATCCTTCTGTCTCTGTCTCAGCCTCAGCCTCCCATGAAGCTGGGACCACAGGCATGTGCCACCACCCCCAGCTAGTTTTTGATTTGTTGGTTTGTTTGTTTCTATGTAGAGACAGAGTCTTACCATCTTGCCCAGGCTGGTCTCAAGCTCCTGGGCTCAATCCATCTTCCCACCTCAGCCTCCCAAAATGCTGGGATTACAGGCGTGAGCCACTGTGCCTGGTCTTGACCACTTTTTGGCTCAGACCAGGAGATTAAAAATGTGGTCTTGCCCTCCTCTCCCAGTTTTAGACTTTGCCTCTGCCTCACATTGCCAGTGCCATGATAGAACTCATGCCTTGGCCAGGCGCAGTGCCTCACGCCTGTAATCCCAGCACTTTGGAAGGCCAAGGCGGGCGGATCACAAGGTCAGGAGATCGAGACCATCCTGGCTAACACGGTGAAACCCTGTCTCTACTAAAAATACAAAAAAATTAGTTGGGCGTGGTGGCAGGCGCCTGTAATCCCAGGTACTCGGGAGACTGAGGCAGGAGAATGGCGTGAACCCAGGAGGCGGAGCTTGCAGTCAGCCGAGAACGCTCCACTGCACTCCACCTTGGGCAACAGAGCGAGACTCCCATCTCAAAAAAAAAAAAAAAAAGGCCGGGCACGGTGGCTCACACCTGTAATCCCAGCACTTTGGGAGGCTGAGGCGAGCGGATCACGAGGTCAGGAGATCGAGATCATCCTGGCTAACACGGTGAAACCCCGTCTCTACTAAAAATACAAAAAATTAGGCAGGTGTGGTGGCGGGCACCTGTAGTCCCAGCTACTCGGGAGGCTGAGGCAGGAGAATGGCGTGAACCCGGGAGGCGGAGCTTGCAGTGAGCCAAGATTGCGCCACTGCACTCCAGCCTGGGCGACAGAGCAAGACTCCGTCTCAAAAAAAAAAAAAAAATATGCAACTCATGCCTTGGGAGAGAGATTTTACCTCTCCTCAAAAAGGTAAGACTGTTCTCCAGGCCATGTTTCATACAGTGTGGCACTTATGTAATATGTGATTTTATTTTATTTATTTATTTAGAGATGGAGTCTAGCTCTGTCACCCAAGTTGGAGTTAGTGGCACGACCTCAGCTCACTATAACCTCTGCCTCCAGGGTTCAGACAATTCTCCTGCCTCAGCCTCCTGAGTAGCTGGGATTATAGGCGCCTGCCACCACGCCTGGCTAATTTTTGTATTTTTGGTAGAGACAGGGTTTCACCATGTTGGCCAGGCTGGTCTCAAACTCCTGACCTCAGGTGATCTGCCCACGTCGGCCTCCCAAAGTGCTAGGATTACAGGCGTGAGCCACCATGCCCTGCTCTGTTACGTGATTTTAAATGTTTCAAAGTCAGATCGAGAACAATGAGAAAAGTATTCCCTTTTCGAGTCTTTCAGTCCTCCTGATTCTATCTGGGAAGAAGTTTCAGTTGGGTACTACCTTATCTTAAAACCTCTCAGCACAGTTGCTGTTCTCTTCTTCCTGGGGAATGCTCCAAGCCTCATTTTTATCATATTTATTTTTATTGGTATCTGCTTAAGTTTATGATCTAAAGATTCCTTTTTAAAAGGAGTTCCTAAGTAAAGAAAGTTGGCATACATAAAATTATAAAATAAGTAATAGCGTAGGTGGCGTGAGAACACAGCATGAGTCACAGCGGCAGTAGGAAAGGCTGGCTGAGGTCTGCCAGTGTCCTAGTATGGCATCCCATCATTCAGTGCCTGTGTTTGAGGCAGAGTTGAAAGACAGTGCTGTTGAGGTAGTGTTTGTCAACTCAGTGATTTCTTGTTTTCCCCTCTATAGTGGAGCACATGATCCAGAAGAACCAATGTCTCTTCACCAACACCCAGTGTAAGGTTTGCTGCGCCTTGCTTATTTCTGAGTCCCAGAAGCTGGCACATTACCAGGTATGCCATCATACTTTTAGAGCTGCGTTTCTTTTCAGACCTGATGCCAAACCCCTAATTCTCCCTGGCTTGCATGGTGAAGTATAATTGCTGCTTAGCCACCCAGATGTTGCCTCCATGCATGTTGGCTTGTGACTTGAAGATTGACTTAATTTCCCTGAGTCTCATCTCCTCTATCCAAATCAGGATCATTATATGTGTATCTTCCCTTGCAGCTTGGCATAGCATAAAGTATGAGCTTTGGTATTAAATAGATGTGAGTTTGAATCAAAACTCTGCTACTCATCTTGAGCAAGAAACTTCATCATTTCTAGACATCGTTTCCTCATCCATAAAATAGAAATGGTCATAATTTTCTCATAGATTGTGAAGATTAAATTTGATAGCTGTAAAATGCCTTGCACAGAGCAGGAACTCAAACTTCCCTCACCTCCTCCTCAAAACTTTTTGTGAGGATGAATCAGATGAAAATCTAGTAAGTGTTTTTGAGTGCCTTAAGTATGAAGTAGCATTTGGCTATCTTTGATCTTTTCCCTGGGTTTTTGCAGAGCAAAAAACATGCCAACAAAGTGAAGAGATACCTAGCAATCCATGGAATGGAGACATTAAAGGGGGAAACGAAGAAGCTAGACTCAGATCAGGTAATACAACTGCCATATTGAGCCCGCTTGCTTCCTGATGACGCCAGCCAGCAGGTTGGTGTGGTGAGCAAGTCAGACTGTCTTGCCTTCAAATCCTGGCCCTGTTGTGTGACTTGGGCAAGTCTATTACTTCACAAAGCCTTGGTTTCTTCCTGTATAAAAATGAGGATGGTAACACCAACTACCTTTCAGGATTTTTCGAAACTAAAATTGAGAGCAGGTTTATAAAAAGCACCCAATTCAGAGCCTGGCACATAGTAGGGACTCAGTAATGGAGCCGGTATTACATATTACCACCTAGTGGTTTGTTGGAGCCAGACAAGAGAAAGTGGAAAGAAGCCAGGCTGCTTGCTTTCTCGAGAGCCAGGGAAAAGAACTAAGTTCAGCACTTGAATGTTTTGAATAAATAAGCAGAAGTAACTCCTTTCCAAATGCCTGCTCTGATTAGAGGTGATCACATGTGCTTTTTGGCTCAGAAATATTATGAGCATTATGCTGAAGCAACCCCCAACGCCTCAGGAGTACCATCTCGTCATGGGAAAAGAAATTGAGCAGACTAGGGCTCAAGCTGGCTGTGTGTCTTACTGGTCGGGTGACCTGGCCAAGTCACTTAACCTCGCAAACTTCACCCATAAAGTAAAGATAATTCCTACTTCTTACGGTATTGTGAGGTAAAATTTCAATTCCCAGTAGATGCTCAAAAATAAGAGTTTACTCTATAAACTGCTACCTCCTACTGTAGTAGCCACAGGTTAGGAAGGTCCTTGTTATCTCTTCTCAAAATTCACTGGACTCATTCCCTTCTTATTATTTACTTATTTATCCCTGGATTCCCTCCTTTCTATCTATTTCTCTATCTGTCTCTTTATGAGACAGGACCTGGCTCTGTCACCCAGGCTGGAGTACAGTGGTGCAATCATGGCTCACTGCAGCCTCAACCTCCCAAGCTCAAGTGATCTTTCCACTTCAGCCTCCCAAGTAGCTAGGACTGCAGGCACACACCACCATGCCTGGCTAACTGGAGTGCAGTGGCATGATCTCAGCTCACTGCAACCTCCACCTCCTTGGTTCAAGCGATTCTCCTGCCTCAGCCTCCCAAGTAGCTGGGACTACAGGCATGCGCCACCACGCCTAGCTAATTTTTTGTATTTTTAGTAGAGATGGGGTTTCACCAGGTTGGCCAGGCTGGTCTCAAATCCCTGACCTCAAGTGATCTGCCTGCCTCAGCCTCCAGAAGTGCTGGGATTACAAGTGTGAGCCACTGCGCCCAGACACCTGGCTGAGTTTTTAAAAATTTTTTCGTAGAGACAGGGTTTCGCTTTGTTGCCCAGGCTGGTCTCAAATTCCTGGTCTCAAGCGATCTTCCTGCCTCAGGCTCCCAAAGTACCAGGATTACAGGTCTGAACCACCACACCTGGCCCTTTTCTTATAATTTATCATTCAGAAAGGCAAGATCAACTCTATGACCCTGGGCAACTTATTTTACATCTTTGCACCCTATTCAGAGATCAGGCTTTCTGAGAGAGATGTTGGAATCCCTTTATGTAGTCTTGAAATACACGGTTTTCTAGCCTAATCATAATCAGCAACTAGAACGCAGTGGGAGGCTGGGTGCAGTGGCTCATGCCTGTAATCCTAGGAATTTAGGTGACTGAGGCGGGCAGATTGCTTGAACTCAGGAGTTTGAGACCACCCTAGGCAACATGGTGAAACCCCATTTCTACAAAAAATACAAAAATTAGCCAGGTGTGGTGGTGTGTTCCTGTAGTCCAGCTACTTGATAGGGTGAGGTGGGAGAATTGCTTGAGCCCTGGAGGTGGAGGTTCCAGTGAGCCAAGATCGTGCCATTGCACTCCAGTCTGGGCAACAGAGTGAGACCATGTCTTAAAAAAAAAAAAAAAACACACAACCTAATGGTCCACTTGTTCAACAAACTCTGAGCATCTACTGTGTGCCAGACTCCAGCGGGGTGTGAAGGATAGGAAACAAAAATGAGTCAAATAGTCCCTGTTCCAGTGTTACACTTGAGTTCACAGAAAAGTCTCCTAAGCTATGACACACTGTCAGTTTAGGGTGGCAAGTGGTAGGACAGAGGTCTATTTAATGTACTCTCGGAGTACAGAAGAGGAGCAGGGTTAATTATTCTTCCTGGAATACACAGACAAAGGGACTTGATAGTTGTTTACTGAATGATTTTTTTTTTTTTTTTTTGAGAGAAAGTCCCCCAGAAGAAAAGCTTTTATTTAAATTGGGTCTTAAAGGCTAAGCAGACATGCTGCCAAGCAGGAAAGGAAGGAAGAGCATTTTAGACAGCAGGAATGGCCAAAGCAAAGCAAGGAAGCATCAGAGAATAAAGTGGGGGATGGTGAGTAGAGCCTGGGACGAAGTAGCTGGAGAAGAATCTAGAAAGTAGGTTGGGGTTAATGTGTGAGGGGGGCCATAAATGCCTATTCTGTTATGGGCAGTGGGGAACCATTGAAGGTTTTCTGGCGGGGCAGTGGTATGATCAGACCTGTGTTCTTTCTTCCAACCAGAAGAGCAGCAGAAGCAAAGACAAGAACCAGTGCTGCCCCATCTGTAACATGACCTTTTCCTCCCCTGTCGTGGCCCAGTCGCACTACCTGGGGAAGACCCACGCAAAGAACTTAAAGCTGAAGCAGCAATCCACTAAGGTGGAAGGTACTGGTTTTCCTGAGTAGTGCTGTAGTGGGACCCCTCCTGTCCTCAGGGCACCATTGCCAGGGACTCACAGAGATCCTCAATGGGGCCACAGACTTGAGGTTGAATTCCTTTTGAGAACCCTTAAAAATCTCCAAGTAGACCCAGTTTCATTGAAATACAATCTCAGAATTATGCTCACCTAACCTCCCTTTCTTTGGTTATAGATTTTTCTCTATAGCCTGAGCTTTTGTCCTGACTAATAATTGTAACTCAGGAGTGCCAAAGTCCTCCAGGCCGTGCATACCATGAGAGCATTCTATCTCCTACCTCTCTCACTTAGATTTTTCCATCCCAGCGTCCACCTGCCCTTATTACTGCATGTTCCAAGTTGAAAGCTAAATCCTTGTCTTTTTCACATGCCCAGGTTATGGCCTACTCACTTTAATCCTCAAAAGCTGCCTGTTCTCCTCAAGACAGGGACTTGTCTTTCAAAGCTGAATACTTCAGTGCTGCTACTACTGCCCCGCAATCTGTAACTGCCATGAATTCATTCCCAGTACAGTGACTTCTGAAATAGCCCCCTTTATCTTGTCATGACTAAGGCTCAGCCCTCACTTTCATCTCATTAACTCCTGACTTTCTGGGGTTTTAACCTCTGCTAATTGCAATTAGTCAAGAGTGAAAGTTCTTTGATGTTTATTTCATTGTTTCCTTGATAATTTTTGCTTCTCTATTTTGGACCAAGAAGTAGACTACACTATTAGTAATAGTATTATCCTTTATGTGTTTACTGACAACAGTGTTTTGGAAGGCTTTGAAGGTAGTGTGAAAAATCACTCATAATTTTTTTTTTTTTTTTTTGAGACAGAGTCTCGCTCTGTTGCCCAGGTTGAAGTGCAGTGGCGTGATCTCGGCTCATAGCCCAGGTTCGTGCGATTCTCCTGCCTCAGCGTTCCTGGTAGCTGGGACTACAGGCACCCACCACCATGCCCAGCTAATTTTTTTGTATTTTTTAGTAGAAACGGGGTTTCACTGTGTTAGCCAGGATGGTCTCAATCTCCTGACCTCGTGATCCACCCGCCTCGGCCTCCCAAAATGTTAGGATTATAGGCGTAAGCCACCACACTGGCCAAAACCTTTTTTTTTTTTTTTTTTTTTTTTTTAGAAATAGAGATGGCTTCTCACTATATTGCTCAGGCTGGGCTTGAACTCCTGGCCTTAAGTGATCCTCCCATCTCGGCCTCCCAGAATGCTGGGATTACAGGCATGAGCCACCACACCTGGCCACTCATAATTACACCTTTTGATCACACCCACATCATGGTGTGAAACAGCAGAATGTGGACTTTGAAGTCACAGAGTCCCAGGTTTAAAAGCCTGGCACTGTTACTGTTTATATGACTTTTTTGTGTCTGAACTGCCTAACCTATACAATGATAATCTATCTACTACATCGGTTGTGAGGATACAATAATGTGTATTAAAAACACAGGACATAGGCTGGGCGTGGTGGCTCATGCCTATTGTAATCCCAGCACTTTGGGAGGCCAAGGTGGGTGGATCACTTGAGGTCAGGAGTTCGAGACCAGCGTGGTCAACATGGTGAAACCCTGTCTCTACTAAAAACAAAAATTAGCTGGGCGTGGTGGCACGAGCCTGTAGTCCCAACTTCTTGGGAGGCTAAGGCAGGAGAATCGCTTGAACCCAGGAGCCGGAGGTTGCAGTGAGCCGAGATCGTGCCATTGTACACCAGCCTGGGGGACAGCACAAGACCCTGTCTCAAAAAAAAAAAAAAAGAAAAAAAAAAAAACCAATTTTATAAGGTCACAGACTTCTTTTTACACAAATGGGAAAATTCTCTGCATTATGCCTGGTCCCTGAAATTTCATACTCAAGAGATTATTTTCCATATTCATGTTCAGCTTTTGCCACATACTTTGTTTTTATATAGTTGTGATTGTAATGCATGTACCCTTTATATCCTGCTCTTACTTTTCATTTAATTTTACAGCTTACACACATTTCCGTGTTATTACATGACTTTATAACTATATTTCTGAGATTAAACACTTTTTAATGTAAAAGTAATATAAGCATATTGTGAGAGATAAGGAAAACATGGATAAATGGAAAGAAAAGTTACCCATAATTTTACCATTCACAGATAAACACTGTTAACATTTTGGTTTCTCCTATAATCTGTTTCTCCTATAATCTTACTGTTTTGTGTATCTGTGTATATCTGTGTGTATATTTGTTTTATGTATATCTAGGTTAACTCCGTGTATATGTGCATATAAACATAGACTACTTTAAATAACTTTAATGTTTTTATAAAAACAATGCATACTCATTATGAATAATTCCACTTCAAGCAATTACAAAAGATACAAAGAAGAAACTAAAATGTCACCCAAATCCTACCACCAAGAGAGAAATACTGTTAATATGTTGGTGATGTTTCAAAATACCAGTATACACATATGGATTACACATGTGGGGTTTTTTAGTTTTTTTTTTTAATTTATTTTTATTTATTTATTTATTTATTTATTTTGAGATGGTGTCTCGCTCTGTCACCCAGGCTGGAGTGCCGTGGCACGATCTCGGCTTAGTGCAACCTTTGCCTCCTGGGTTCAAGCGATTCTGCCTCAGCCTCCCAAGTAGCTGGGACTACAGGCGTGTGCCACCACGCCTGGCCAATGTTTGTATTTTTAGTAGGGACGGGGTTTCACTGTGTTGCTCAGGCTACTCTTGAACTCCTGGCCTCAAACAATGATCTTACCGTATGGTATGTACAATTGCCTTCTTTTATGTTTTTTGTGGTTTTTTTTGAGATGGAGTCTCCCTCTTCTACCCAGGCTGGAGTGAAGTGGCACGATCTCAGCTCACTGCAACCTCTGCCCCCCGGGTTCAAGCGATTCTCCTGCCTCAGCCTCCCAAGTAGCTGGGATTAGAGGTGCTCACCACCATGCCCAGCTAATGTTGTTTCTGTGGTTTTTTTGAGACAGAGTCTTGCTGTCGCCCAGGCTGGAGTACAGTGGTGCAACCTTGACTCACTGCAGCCTCCACCTTCTGGGTTCAAGCAATTCTCTTGAGTCAGCCTCCTGAGTAGCTGGGACTACAGGCGCCCACCACAACACCTGGCTAATTTTTGCATTTTTAATAGAGATGGGGTTTCACCGTATTGGGCAGGCTGGTCTTGAACTCCTGACCTCAGGTGATCCACCCACCTCGGCCTCCCAAAGTGCTGGGATTACAGATGTGAGCCACCATGCCCGACCAGTTTTGTATTTTTAGTAGAGATGGAACTTCACCATGTTGGTCAGGCTGGTCTCAAACTCCTGATCTCAGGTAATCCACCCGCCTCAGCCTCCCAAAGTCCTGGGATTACAGGCATGAGCCACCATGCCCTGCCTAATTTTTGTATTAGTAGCGATGGGATTTCATCATGTTGGCCAAGCAGATCTCTAACTCCTGATCTCAGGTGATTCACCTGCCTCTGCCTCCCAAAGTGCTAGGATTACAGGTGTGAGCTACTGCACCTGGCCATACAATTGCCTTCTATACGTTTTTTATTTAATATGACATTTGTATTTCCCCATGTTATTAAAAAATTCTTTATAAGCATTTTTAGTGACTGCATCATACCACATTTAACATTCCTCTAATGCTGAACATTTAATCTCCCCACCCCCCACTTTTTAGTGTTACAAATAACACTACAGTGAACATCCCTTTAGAATACTTTATTATATTTCAGTTTATTTTCTGGGAACAGACTCTATATCCCTCATTTTATTGGATGCACTTTAAATGGTTCTTCTAAACTTAACTTACCCTTTCACCTCTGATGCTTCTCTTCAGTATCTCAAAGAATGACCGTTCTCTCTTACAACCATTATATATCTCTTTTCTGATGTTAAAAATCTACATTAATTACAGAAAAGCCGGAAGATAGTAGGCCGGATGCAGTGGCTCATGCCTGTAATTCCAGCACTTTGGGAGGCTGAGGCGGGTGGATCACCCGAGGTCATGAGTTTTGAGACCAGCCTGACCAACATGGAGAAACCCCGTCTCTACTAAAAATACAAAATTAGCTGGGCATGGTGGCGCATGCCTGTAATCCCAGCTACTCGGGAGGCTGAGGCAGGAGAATCGCTTGAACCTCGGAGGCGGTGGTTGCAGTGAGCCGAGATCAGCCAGGCTGGTCTCAGAACTCCTGAGTCAGATCATCGGCCTGCCTCAGCCTCCCAAAGTGCTGGGATTACGGGCACGAGCCATTGCGCTTGGCCTGTAACTTGATTTTTTTACACTCTAACACCACAAACAGAATATTTTCTCATATTATAAGATATTCTACAACATGTACATTACTTTTTTAATGACTTGCTGAAACAAAATCAACGAGCAGAGAGATTGAGATTCCATCTCTACTGGAAAACCGTTGTGGGAAAGGCCAGAAAATCTCTTCTGGCTTGCCCAAAATCCTCAAAACTTCCCCAGTTGAAGTGATACAGGTATGGAAGAGCATCTGAGACGTCTCATCTCAGTCCTCCTGAGCCCCATCCGTCCTCCACCACTGGTGGGGGCTTCTGGGCCCCACATTTTTAAAGCAGTAGTTGCTAGGTTGACACCATTTCAGCCACACAGACTTGTTAGTGAGTTGTGGCATCCACTTTATGAGGCAGCAGCACAGCCTACAGTCAACATCTAGCCATATGTTGATGCACAAGAGGCTCACAGGTATGCCTACACCAGGTTCTGATTAACTGAATTCATTGGCCAGAATCAGGGATGTTTTCTGAAGGTGAAAGTAAGAGCTATAGCCTTCAGGTCTTCTTGCCACACTCTGGCAGCCTGGCGTAGCAAAGAGAGCATAGGCTTTAGGGTCACAGACCTGGCTTCACTCACTAGCTGGGTCACCTTGGGCAAGCCACTTCACTCGTCTGAGCCTCAGTTTTTCTGAATAATGTGGCAAAGTGATACCTACCTCATTGGGGTAGTTCTGAGGACCAAAGGAGAAAATACATATACAATACACACGACTAATTTTTTTTTTTTTTTTTTTTTTTTTTTCTTGAGACGGAGTTTCGCTCTTGTCACCCAGGCTGGAGTACAATGGCACGATCTCGGCTCGCTGCAACCTCCGCCTCCCAAGTTGAAGTGATTCTCCTACCTCAGCCTCCCGAGTAGCTGGGATTACAGGCACATGCCACCATGCCCAGCTAATTTTTGTATTTTTAGGAGAGATGGGGTTTCACCATGTTGGCCAGGATGGTCTCAATCTCTTTTTTTTTTTTTTTTTTTTTTTTTGAGACGGAGTCTCGCTCTGTCGCCCAGGCTGGAGTGCAGTGGCGCAATCTCGGCTCACTGCAAGCTCCGCCTCCCGGGTTCACGCCATTCTCCTACCTCAGCCTCCCGAGTAGCTGAGACTACAGGCGCCCGCCACTGCGCCCGGCTAATTTTTTTCTATTTTTTAGTAGAGACGGGGTTTCACCATGGTCTCGATCTCCTGACCTTGTGATCCGCCCGCCTCGGCCTCCCAAAGTGCTGGGATTACAAGCGTGAGCCACCGCGCCCGGCCGGTCTCAATCTCTTGACCTCATGATCCGCCCGCCTTGGCCTCCCAAAGCCCTGGAATTACAGGTGTGAGCAAAACACATAACTAAATGTTAATGGTCCTCTTTTCTCTCTGCTCAGCCTGTTAATATGCAATGTAGCCTAAAAGGCCTCCCTAGTGTGGTTACCTTTTCTAAATGACCCTGTATGAGCTCCAGGAACTCAAGCCTCAATTTCTGTATCTGTGCATTGGTTCCCAGCTCTGCAACTGTATTACTTCAAGGATGAGAATAAAACTCCCAAACTTTGTGTCCCACTTGCTGTGAAGTTCTGGGAAATGCTGAGGTATGCCTGCAAGAGTGCAAGTATGCATCTCTAGTCTATTGTAATTTGACAACTTGATAGCAGAAGTTCAGAGCCTCCTAAGAATATGAGAAAAATCAGGATTTGTGGGCTTAAAGTAGTTAAAGTTGCTGAATGAAATAGCCAGTCTTTGGGCTCCCTCAAATCTTCGCAGGTTTCCCAATTAGAGAATGCATTCACGTGTGTGATTCACACAGGCAGTGCCACATCTGCAAGTGGGATTAACTGGTGTCACAGCCCTTTCTATTCAGCATACTCAAAAGCCTGGCACCTTCTGGGTTTTTTCATTGTTTCTGTTTGAACTCTCTCACCGCAGCTCTGTCGAAACGCCTTACAAATCCTTTCCTTGTGGCCTCCACCTTAGCCTTGCACCAGAATAGAGAGATGATAGACCCAGACAAGTTCTGCAGCCTCTGCCATGCGACTTTCAACGACCCTGTCATGGCTCAACAACATTATGTGGGCAAGAAACACAGAAAACAGGAGACCAAGCTCAAACTAATGGCACGCTATGGGCGACTGGCGGACCCTGCTGTCACTGACTTTCCAGGTGAGGGGGCCTAGCTCACACCCAGTGCTGGACCAGGGCTTAGCCACTGGGGCTCCCTGGACCAGCCGACGTTGTGCTTTTCCTCCTTAGGTCTTGTAAGTAGGGTTTGCAAACTCAGATACCTACAGAAGCCAGATGAGAAATTAAAATGAGAGCCAGGAAGCGGATATGGTCAGCTGAAGAGTAAATGCCACTCCTACTCAGCTGTTACCATATCTTTCAGGTTTTCTCTCTTTTTTTTTTTTTTTTTTTTTTTTTGAGACGGAGTCTCGCTCTGTCGCCCAGGCTAGAGTGCAGTGGCCAGATCTCAGCTCACTGCAAGCTCCGCCTCCCGGGTTTACGCCATTCTCCTGCCTCAGCCTTCCGAGTAGCTGGGACCCAGGCGCCCGCCACCTCGCCCGGCTAGTTTTTTGTATTTTTTAGTAGAGACGGGGTTTCACCGGGTTAGCCAGGATGGTCTTGATCTCCTGACCTCGTGATCTGCCCACCTCGGCCTCCCAAAGTGCTGGGATTACAGGCTTGAGCCACCGCACCTGGCCTTGTTTTTTTTTTTGTTTTTTTTTTTCTTTTTTGAGATGGAGTCTTGCTCTGTCACCCAGGCTGGAGTGCAGTAGCACGATCTCAGTCCACTGCAAGCTCCGCCTCCCAGGTTCACGCCATTCTCCTCCCTCAGCCTCCCAAGTTGCTGGGACTACAGGCGCCTGCCACCACGCCCAGCTAATTTTTTTGTATTTTTGGTAGAGACGGGGGTTTCACTATGTTAGCCAGGATAGTCTCGATCTCCTGACCTCGTGATCCACCTGCCTCAGTCTCCCAAAGTGCTGGGATTACAGCCATAAGCCACTGTGCCCGGCCCTCTTTCAGGTTTTCCAAAGACTCTGGAAAGCCAGATTTATATAGAAATCCGTCTGTTTTTTTGTTTTTGTGTTTTTTTTGAGACGGGAGTCTCAAGCCACTGCGTCCGTCCTTTTTTTTTTTTTAAGAGGATCTCTTGCCGGGTGCAGTGGCTCACGCCTATAATCGCAATACTTTGGGAGGCTAAGGCGGGTGGATCATGAGGTCAAGAGAGCGAGACCATCCTGGCTGATATGGTGAAACCCCATCTCTACTAAAAATACAAAAATTAGCTGAGTGTAGTGGCACGCACCTATGGTCCCAGCTACTCGGGAAGCTGAGGCAGGAGAATCGCTTGAACCCGGGAGGTGGAGGTTGCAGTAAGCCAAGGTCGTGCTACTGCACTAGCAACAGAGCAAGACGCCATCTCAAAAAAAAAAAACAGGGTCTCTGTTTGTTGCCTGAGCTGGTCATGAACTCTTGGACTCTAGTGATCCTCCTACCTTGGCCGCCCAAAGTGCTGTGATTACAGGCATGAGCCATTACATGCAGCCTGCTTTTATCAAGTATGCATTTAAGTCTTGCCCAAAATATTTGTGTATTTTGGTTCTTTTAATGCTGTTTTAAAATGAACATTCCTTAAAGTTGACTGGAAAGGTGGTCTTCCTTATTTTGAGACTGAGTCTCCCTCTGTCACCCAGGCTGGAGTACAGTAGTATGATCTCGGCTCATTGCAACCTCCACCTCTCGAGTTCGAGCAATTCTCCTGCCTCAGCCTCCCAACTAGCTGAGACTACAGGCACATGCCACCATGCCCAGCTACATTTTGTATTTTTAGTAGAGACAGGGTTTCACCATGTTTGCCAGGCTGGTTTCAAACTTCTGACTTCAGGTGATCCGCCCACCTTGGCCTCCCAAAGTTCTGAGATTACAGGCGTGAGCCACCATGCCCCACCGATCTTCCTACTGCAAGCTCCACTTCCCGGGTTCATGCCATTCTCCTGCCTCAGCCTCCCGAGTAACCGGGACTACAGGCGCCTGCCACCACACCCGGCTAATTTTTTGTGTTTTTAGTAGAAACGGGGTTTCATCCTGTTAGCCAGGATGGTCTCAATCTCCTGACCTCGTGATCTGCCCGCCTCGGCCTCCCAAAGTGCTGGGATTACAGGTGTGAGCCACTGCGCCTGGCCCTAATTTTTTAACGTGTAACTTTAAATATATTGTAACTCATCAGGGTCTTTTTATAAAATCACCAACTTCACACTTACGGGAAAAATTAGAATGTAGGGACCATTTCTTATACATTAAGGGTAATTAAAAAAGACCTGGAAGAAGTTCAGTTTTCATGAATATTATACGGTTAAGAGAGGGAAAAAAATATCCACCTTGATGATAATTTTTCTTACATGTGTTCTTGTTTGCTGTGAATTCATTGGGAGAAAATATTTGCTGCCTTTTTACTGTACATTCCAATTGTATTCTTAAAACATTTCAAAGTCGATGTATATTTTAACATTTTGTGACATACTAACATGTTTTTAGAATATACTAGTCCACAGGGGATACATTTCAAAACCCCCCATAGATGCCTGAAATGGTGGATAATACCAAACCTTCTATATACTGTGTTTTTCTCTCTGAGAACCAACATGGCTCAGGCACTAATGAGCAGATAGCGTATACAGTGTGGTGAACAAAGAGATGATTCACATTCTGAACAGAGTACAGTGGGATAGCGTGGGGTTTCATCATGCTACTCAGAATAGCCAGCACTTTAAAAAACTTATGAATTGTTCATTTCTGGATTTTTTTTTTTTTTTTTTTGGATAGGGTCTTCTCTGTCACACAGGCTGGAGCACAGTGCTCAATTATGGCTCACTACAGTCATGAGCTCCCAGACTCAAGCATTCCTCCCACCTCAGCCTCCCAAATGGCTTAACCACAGGTGTGCGCCACCCCACCTGGCTACCTTTTTGTTTTTTGTAGAGTCAGAGTCTTGCCATGTTGCCCAGGCTGGTCTTGAACTCCTGGGCTCAAGTGATCCACCCACCTCGGCCTCCCAAAGTGCTGGAATTACAGACATGAGCCACCATGCCAGATCTGGCTTTTTTTTTTTTTTTTTTTTTTTCTTTTTTGATACGTACTTTTGCTCTTGTTGCCCAGGCTGGAGTATAGTGGTGCCATCTTGGCTCACTGCAACCTCCACCTTCCAGTTTCAAGCACTTCTCCTGCCTCAGCCTCCCGAGTAGCTGGGATTACAGGTGCCTACCACCACGCCCGGCTAATTTTTTTTTATTTTTAGTAGAGGTAGGGTTTCACCATGTTGACCAGGCTGGTCTTGATCTCCTGACCTTGTGACCCACACAGCTCGGCCTCACAAAGTGGTGGGATTACAGGCATGAGCCACCTTACCTGGCCAGCATTTTTTATTTCGTATTTTTGGACTGCAGTAGACCACAGATAACTGAAACCATAGAAAGCAAATCTGCAGATGGTGAGTAGGGTGTGGTGGCGGGGCTACTGTAATAATTGCATAGTATAATCTATTACTCCAGAACAGAAAGACCTCAAGTGAACTTCACTAATTCGATTTACTTAGATTTCTGAGTAAAAACTGGTTCTATAAATTAAGAAATAGTAGCTTCTTTATGGTAAAGATACTTTTCTGAAAAGTAAACAATTGAAATTTTACTAATATATAGATTTTGCTACATATTACTATTATATATTACATTTACAAGTATGTAGGGTTTTTTTTTTTTTTTTTTTTTAAAGACAGAGTCTCGCTCTGTCACCCAGGCTGGAGTGCACTGGTTCTATCTCGGCTCACTGCAACCTCCACCTCCTGGGTTCAAGCGATTCTCCTGCCTCAGCCTCCTAACTAGCTGGGATTATAGATGCCTGCCACCACACCAGGCTAATTTTTGTATTTTTAGTAGAGACAGGGTTTCATCATGTTGGCCAGGCTGGTCTCAAACTCCTGACCTCAGGTGATTCACCTGCCTTGACCTCCCAACGTGCTGGAATTACAGGCACGAACCCACCACACTCAGCCCTAATATGTCGATTTTTTTGAGACTTCATATAGCTATCCCTGAAACTGTGGGCACTAAGAGAATTTGAGAAAGTTACTTCATAAATGTGTGGAAACTGGAAATGGACTCCATATCTTTGGTAATAAAGGGGTAATGTCAGTGTTTTCCACATCCTGGTGTCTAGTCTAGAAAGACTTGGTAGGAGAAAAATATTAGGCTTTTCCAAAGGTTTTCTTAACATAAATTTGGCCTTGTTGAGTCCTTTTTAATTTGAACCAGCAAAGTATCTCCCGCTGCCTCAGGAATAACTTACTGATTAAAATCGAAAACTAGGGCCAGGCACAGTGGCTCACGCCTGTAATCCCAGCACTTTAGGACGCCAAGGTAGGTGGATCACTTGAGGTCAGGAGTTCGAGACCAGCTTGGCCAAAATGGCAAAACCCTGTGTCTACTAAAAATACAAAAATTGGCCGGATGCGGTGGCTCACACCTGTAATCCCAGCACTTTGGGAGGCCAAGGCAGGCAGATCACCTGAGGTTGGGAGCTCAAGACCAATCTGACCAACATGGAGAAACCCCATCTCTATTAAAAATACAAAAATTAACCAGGCATGGTGGCATACGCCAGTAATCCCAGCTACTCTGGAGGCTGAGGCATGAGAATCACTTAAACCCAGGAGGAGGAGGTTGCAGTGAGCCGAGATCATGCCACTGAACTCCAGCCTGGGCAAAAAAGCCAGACTCCATCTCAAAAAAAAAAAAAAATATTAGCTGGGCATGGTGGCATGTACTTGTAGTGCCAGCTACTCAGGAGTCTGAGTCAGGAGAATCTCTTGAACCCAGTTGCAGTGAGCTGAGATGACACCACTGCATTCCAACCTGGACGACAGAGCGAGACTCCATCTCAAAAAAAAAAAAAAAAAAACATCTAAAAAGTCAGGAAACAACAGGTGCTGGAGAGGATGTGGAGAAATAGGAACACTTTTACACTGTTGGTGGGACTGTAAACTAGTTCAACCATTGTGGAAGACAGCGTGGCGATTCCTCAAGGATCTAGAACTAGAAATACCATTTGACCCAGCCATCCCATTACTGGGCATATACCCAAGGGATTATAAGTCATGCTGCTAT